CATACCTAAATATTATATAGTTTAAAATTTATAACACTTAAGTAACATAATTAAAACTCGTCATATAAAATAATTTACACAATAATACTTATTATATAAAAAGGAATGACAATAATACAATGATAAAAATGTTTCCTAATAATTATAGGTAACACATGTTCAATTAGTCTATGAAAATTGATGTGCAAGTATATGAAACATTATACAATGATTAGGTACTTAGCACATATTGTTTTCTTATAGATAAATATTGTACAGACTTTTGATTACAAAGTATTTGTATAAAAATAATAACAATCTAAAGTATTAAAATTATCAAACCAAATTACAATAATTTAATTTAATCAATAAAAACTCAACTTTAGTCATGTTATTTTCATAATAATGTTTAATAATAAATAATTCACAATATTATGAAATAGATATTTTTGATTATGTTATACAGTTGAAGGTTAATCATGAGATTTATTTTAGAGTAATTATTAATTTAGTAACATGAAGTTCTGCATTTTTTTWAAACTAATAGTAGGTTTAATAATAGGAGCAGAAAAATAATCCAAATTGTTCGTCTTAATATCAGAGTTCCATATTTTTTTTTTTTAACTATTTTAATTATTAATAAAAATAATCAAGTATTCAACTATTTCTTTTTAAGTTAAAACCATTATACAACTGTAAATATAACTAGAATTATATTTTTTAACTAAAATGTAAGTTATTAAAAGTCAAAATATTTATTTTTAATTTTAGCATACTGGATTTATGTTAAAATAAGAAATCTGCATACAAGAAGTTATTATTTTACAGTAACTTAATATTTTATAATTACTGTTATAATAATATATTATATTAAATATTTAAATTATGCTATAAAAAATAAACATAATAAATATTTTAATCAATATTTAATGGGTAAAACAAATGCTCTATTATGTAAAGAATTCAAAGAATAGTCAATGTAAGAAGTTCAAGTTGAAGCCTAAGTTTGTTATCATACTCTATACAATTACGCTGGTATCAGTTAAATAGGCATGGTTAGCTTTTAAATAATATAATACACAGATAAACATTTAAAAAATACAGTTTGAAGAAATTATATAAAAATAAATAATTACGTCTTATGTATTCAAAAAAATCATATTGTTTAAACTATTTTTATATATAATGCTACACGAATACAATATTGCGAAACAAATATGATTTGGTTTATGAATATATTTGCTGTACATATAAAATATTTATAAATCAGGATTAGTTATGATATATTTATTTAAGGATAAAGTCATATTGTTCAAAGATTAGTTTTTCAAACTATAAAAATTAACTTAAAATTTAAAGTTAATATTTAGTCTTCAGTATAGGTGTCATTATTTTGTAAAAGATTTTGTGTTTCTGCACAAGGAGTTCTGTAACATAAAAAAAAAAAATGTTTAATAAAAATTCAAAATAATATAAATTAGCTACAAGTAAAAAAATATTATTGATTAATTACTTGTTTGATTCAAGTTGGTTTCTTTGTTTAATACTCATATTTAATACTCCATTACTCATTGAATCCCATGTCCATAAAACAGCGGTCAGTAACAAAGCAGCTAAAGTTAAAAAGGTTAATTAGAAATAATATTTTATTTTTATTTTTTTAAACAATCGTTTTAATAAATTTGTTGGATCAAAACGTAAAATGGTATTAAGGGAATCTTCACATTATTATTTAAAATAATTGTTTTAGATCATTTTAAAAAAAGTTTAAAAATTAAATATAATATTTTTAATGTGTATAGGAATTTAAATTTAATTATAAAAAATATGTTTTAAATGTATAGTTAATTTTATTTTTATTATTACCCACCGGGAATCCATAAATATCTATAATATAGCAGCTAACTCAAATGTATTAGCTACCATTTAAGTTGAAAATAACACACCTAATAGTTCATTGATTATTCAGTAAAAATATTTATTTTATATGACTAATAAAAAATAATAGTTACCTGATAATAAAAGACAGAAAAATAATTCTACCATATAGTAACCATCCGAGTCAACTATAATACCACTTAACAAAGCAACAACAGCAAGCCCTAGATTTTCAACGGACTGCGCTCTATATAAAAAAAAAAAAAAGATAAATCAAAACACTGTCATATTTGCAATCATTGACTTAAACTGAAATATTCTTTTCTAAATAAAAAATTGCTACTATTCCTTAATATTTTATTGGTTTACACAAGACATTACATTTTAAATTGAGTTTTAGATTCAACTAAAACCTAAATAAAAATGTTAAATTAATAACAATTGTTTTTTTAAACTTGAACTTATATCAAAATTCTATTGATAATTTACAATGATTTGGTTATGTTTTATTCAAAATGTCTTTTTATCACGACTGTCCCCCTTATATTTCTTAAATAAATAGACATGATAAACAWMATAAACTAGCATAAGTTAAAAGTTATAATACACAAAACACTTGCATGCCATATGCTGTTCCCATTTGATGTTCTGGAATAACCATTGCAATCAAAGGCCACAATGCACTTGCCAACATCGAGTAAGACAATCCCATTGTGAACTATAGGTAATTTTAAACATAATTATCATAAAATATCTTTTGTTTAAAATATGAGTTTACTTATCTTACCATGGCAATATAGGGGTTTACAAATGTAAATGCCAAGAACATGTGTGAAACTAAGGTACCAAAAATTGATAAAAATACCCAAAATAGATTTCTTCCAGTTTTATCAATGACTAAACCAAGTCCTGGTGCACATATAGCTGATATGATGTAAATAATCCCATTAATCAAATTGGCTGAATCGGGTGAAAAGTTGTACTTTTTTTCAAAGAATACTCTGGAAAATAAACATTTACAATAAGACATCAAATCAAAATAAATATTTGGTAATTAAATGTTTTACTAAAAAATTAACTAAATTGCTTTAATAGTAYAATATTAAATTAAAACTGAAAGTTAAAWCATTGTAACAAGTAATTAATTCAAAAGTAAAACTAATAGTGTAATTATCAAAAAAAATTATTAAAACATAATATGTACAATTATTTCAAACTACAGAAATAACACAACAYAGAAATAAATTACTCAACATCAATGATTTAATTTTTTATTAAATAGTGCTTTATAAATCATAATATAGTGTTGCAAATAAATAAAATAATGTAATCGTCTTACTTTCCTAACGCAACAAATGGAAATATTGATGTGTAATAGAAAACAATAATGAATGTAACAAGCCAAAATACTTTTGGAAAGTACCACACATCAGACATTTTTACAACTTCAGTAGCTTCAAGTGTTTTTCGGTGAAGTAGTTTTTCAGCTCTTTTATCTTGCCAAGCAAGTAATAAGGCACTTACCAATGATAAAACACAGGTTAAGCTTGCTAATGGACAAAATATAAATTAATAGATTGTAAACTTATGATTTCTAATGATTACATACCWATTAACAAAACAATGGATAAACTTTGATAGTTAGGGACATTTATTTGGTTTTTAACATATCGATATAATGGTTCCATAACTACAAAATTAACTGTTGAACCAACTCTGGCAAAACTTATTTGAAATCCAAACACCATATTAAGTTCTTTTCCTTTAAACCACAATACTGCATAGTTGTTTTGGGCAACAGCCAATGATTCTCCACCAATTCTGTGTAAAAAACATATTTTTAATTTTTATAATTTTAAGGTATCTATTTATTTTAATTTAAAATTAAAATAAGAAAATTACATTTAAATATTAATATTAAATAATAATCATAGGAGACACTATTAAAAATCAAATATAGTCAAATCACAATAGCTCAAAAAACCTGAAAACACTAATTTTTTTTGTTTTATTCCCTTAGAAAAGCTCATAACATTCAATTGTAGTGCTACAAATGAACATTTAAATGGTATATTTAATAGCATTCACATTTTTAATTAAAATTATCATAATCAGTGGCGTATCCAGGGGGAAACACACACAATTCAAAACAATTTAATGTTATATTTTTTCTAACCCTTCCTCTCTCCATGCAAAAAAGAAATCTAGATACGTCACTGATCATAATATACAAAACTAAAATACAATTACCCAAAAATCAGACGGCCAAGTATCATAATCCATAGGGCGTTCAAATATGCTCCAGCAGCAAATACTATTTGACCAAGAACGACCAACAATGCATAGATGACAGTACCTAAACGTATCCCAAAAACACTAAAAACATAAAATATGTTATAAGAGTATACTAATTAATATAATCAAATAAGCAAAYGTTTATAACTCAAAAATAGTCTTATAATTAGAACATAATATGTAGATATAACTTATAAGTTAATAAGGTGCTGTTCTTGTATGTAAACTACAGTCATATCTGTGTTTTTGTATGCGGTCTACAGTACATGTAGACCACGTAGTACATTTGCACGCCAAAAAATTAATTAATGTAAAAAACTGTCATACACTGCGCATAGTCTGACATCCTCTTTTTTGCAATAAAGAACAGGACAAAACAAAAACACTCTCCCCCACCCCTTTCGCGTTTTCTAGCGTTTACCATTTAATTACTGCACTTATGGTAGTGTCTAATAAGTTATAACTAATTAGTAATAACTAATAAGCTGAGTCCTCTTAAAAACGCAGTGGTACATTTTTTGCTTTGGCCGACAGTCAAATAAAAATCTTTTGATTGCATAATAAATTTAATAATAATAAATAAATATTTACAAACTATAATTAACTTATATTTTTTATAATGAAAATRTATAACTGTACTATACAAATTGATGACCAATTGGTAACTAACAAAGTTATTAAGCATAAACGTATTTATTTTGAAATAACGATTTTACCTAACTTTTAAATTATACCTTTATTTTTACTACATATCTCTACACCTAGATTAAGCATCTTTATAGTGGAAAAATATTGTATACAATCAACAATCTTACTTAAATATACTATATTTGTATAGGTATGTTTTTTTTCTGCTCTAATATGTGGTCTACGTATTATGATTGTAGACTGCATGCATTTGTAGTCTTCATACAAGAGCAGCACTGCTTATAATTTAACTAAACCTTTATTTATCCCATACATAAGGATKATTACAAAAAAAAATATGTGTATAAATATAAAATGTATATACATCATATATTTTAATTAAATTTATTATTAATATATTAGCACTTTTGTGTGGATATGAAAATATTTATACTATTTATGTAAGTACTAGAAAATGAAAAAAAAAAAAAACATTTTTCTTGCTGTAAATAACTGATGTCACAATAAATGTAAATACCTAAAGATAAATATTGGTTATATAAATCAATATTAAACATAAAAAAAAATTATAAACTTAAAACCTGTCAATTAAAAATCCACCAATGAAACACATTACAACATTCGGCCAAGAATACCATGAATACAGATAGACAAATTGYGAAGTTGTTAAGTTCATATCTTGAATAAAATTATCTTGTAATGCTCCAGGATTATCAAAGCAAAAATATGAACCTAAAAATCATAAATTATAAATTAAATTTATACTATCATACTTACTATGAATGCAACYAAATAAATATTTACCAAATCCAATTAAACACATCAAAAATAATGCTATAAGTCGTTGAAAAATATGACTTGGATGTGTCCATGTTACTTTATAATCGTGTTCTTGGTTGTCTGTTGTATTAGACGAAGATGGGTGACTTTCCTCCATTTTAAAATTTTTGAAACTAAGTAACTGGAAATTTTAAAATAAGTTTTTAAATTAAATACTTTATTTAGATAAATTATATCAACTAATTGAAAAATGTAAAGCTTTAAAAGTCTAACCTAGTTCTTATTCGTATACTTTCTAACACAATGCCCACAAACAAACATAATAAATATGATAACAAATTTTTCAACAATTAAAATCATTAGTACGTCTTAATCTCTTAATATTACAATAAATTGAAAAACTTTCAAATTTAAAGATGMGACTATTATCAATATTCTTTGTTAGCTTCGTAATCTCATCTTAGGTTTATAAGCAAGTTATGAGCACTTATTTTTTTTTTATTTAAAATGCTTATAACTTACTTTAGTTAAAATATTTAAAAAAA